AGGGTAGTAGCACTGCATACAGTCGATACAGTGGTATAAGCTCCAGCCCAGTCCGATTTGGATCAAAAGCATCAACGTCGACGCGCGCTGATCCAATTATCGTCCCTCATTCGACGAGTGCCATTGGCGTTAAACGTAAACTAGAAAGTTCCTTTCGAGCTCCAGTTAATAAGGTCCCAAAAAGCCTTGGAATTACAACTATGATGAGACTTGGACAGGCTATAACGGCTACGGAAACTTCGCAGGAGATTGTTGAAGTTTCAAGATTTAATATTAATGATATGGTCTGGTCACCGCCAGTATCCGTACACTTTACAATTGAAAAGGAGAAGTTTGCTGAAGGTGGTTTTCGTGCTGCGTACAAGGCTACCTCGAAATCACCAAATTTTGAAGGTAAAACCTACATTGTGAAACGCTTCTTACCTAAAACAGTTGAACTGATTGGAGCAGTAAACGAGACTCAAGAAGACCATGCACGAAAGTCTATTCAGATGCAAGCATTGGCAAATAATTTCGCAGAACAAGTTGCAGCAAAAGTAGAGAAAGATGGAAACAAAAATGTATTTGGAAAGCCATTTCGGTATGTTGATGCATTTTTGGGAAAGGTTCAGCGCACAAACCAAATTGTAACAATAGAACAGTTTGCATCCGGTACTTTCCAAAAATATGTAAACAACGATGGAACAATCTCACATAACAAGGACATTGAGAAGCAAAGAAAGGCTGAAAGCCTTGTTCATTTTTCGTTTGTAAAGTCGAACAGGAAACTCTTGTTGGTAGATATCCAAGGAGGTGAGTATAACCTAACAGATCCTGAAATTGCCACAGTGTCTGGCATATATGACAATGACGACCACCTTCTCTTCTGTGCTGGAAATCTATCAACAGAAGCATACTTGAATTTCTTCAATGCTCATAAGTGTAATGCATTTTGTAACCTCCTTGGTCTCGTGCCGGAAGAAGTAGAGAATGATGCGTAAAGATACAAGAACATGAGAATGTGTCTTTTGAAAACTTACATGACCAGTTAAAGTGTTTCTATAATTTATCATTTTGTTCAACATTGTAGTTCTTTTACTCTTAAAAGTTATTCAATTCAAAATCCACACCCCTTTAGACGACTACAAAGACAATGGGAAACAGCCATTATAAAGGCATTAATCCATTCATAAGAAATTTTAGAAAATTCATTATTTCAATTAATATTAATTGATTATATGCCTTTAGTCTTGTATTTCAATTAAGAACATATACTGCAACCAATCTGAAATTTACATACAAAGGAAGAGTAGGAGAAGGGGTGTGGATAATCAACTGACTGACCCTAATATGATATTTATAGAATATCAATAATAAAACTTCTAGGTAATGAAGTATCATCTAAATTGTTCATCAACATGAATACTGTAAACTGTGACATTCCACATGCTGCACACAAAGTTTATAAATGGATACTAAGACAGTATAGTATAATATGTTTGTTTCTTATTTAAAAAAAACCAATAATATGTTTGTTTTCTTGTTTTAACTGATGCTTCAGCATTTTACATGATCATCATTTTACAAAATTTTATTCACTTATCGAATCCTGGTATTTTTGTTTAAGTAACAAATATTTTTGAACAAATTCGTTACACTGGACATTTTCTGGCTCCGGTAGCAAATCATTGAACAAAGTGCGTAACTCTAATGACAGAAAATCATCTGGAGCTTCCAAGACTCCTGATAATTCTGCTACAACTTGAAGATCTTGATTGTTTACTTTAAAACCTATAAATGAAGAAAAATTGTGTGAATTCTCCATTCTGTCTTGTCACCATGTGTTACTCTTTTTTTGGGGGGGGGGTAAATGGTACTGTATGTTGCACTATATACAGTATACCTTCCTCTCTATTTCCCCCTTCTTCAATAAGCCTTTGCATTACTAGTAACTTGAATAAATTATCTGGACTCAAACATGCCTGAAACAAATAAGTCTGGGGGGGGGACCTGAATGGTGGATTTTCAGTATTGCCAATCAATGCAAAGAAACTGGTGTGGCATGTCACAGCCATGCTTTTATGACATAATCCAATCCACATTTTTGAGGTTGATCTGCATGGGGTAGCATGTGTGCTGAAGTGCAACTTTTTGGACAAACAAACAATATGCTAGTAATAATATATACTGGGAAATGCAGTTGTCTTGCAAATATTCAAACGGAATTTGGACACATTTTCGTTAACACACAATCTGTGGTGAGGAATTTAAATTCGTATATATAAATATGGCTTGGAGATACCAAAATGTAAGGAGATACCAAAATGTAAGGGAATATCGATGTTCAACTGAAATAATATAAATATTGCTTATAAAGATAAGATAATACATTGCACGCATTCGTGCAATATAAGACAAGTAACCTTTCTTTTCCATTCCATATCTTTCTGGAAATTCAAAAATATGGTCTGGAATACCATCTGCCATGAGAGTTTCTTTCTGTGCCCGGATTCTATGGGTATTCCATATTGTCAGACGGAATTCGTCAAGTTCTCTTTGCATCATAGGAATCATGATATAAGCAAGCATTGACCTGTTGAAAAAGTAATGTAAACACTGTGGTTGGGTGCATACTTTTTCAACTCTTAGACTTGAGTAATTTACTCTTAATATTTAGTGACACTTGGTAAGAGCAAGTTCCTGTGAATATGGTGGTCATGTTGTATTTGGACAAACATACACCCACCTGCACTTTTTGCTTACCTCAATTGAAGTGATTTATTGCTTGAGACAGGCAGTATTATATTGTGTGAAAACTTGAAGTAATACATTACATGCTTAGCTAGTATATGAGGTATGGTAATTCAGTTGGATCAGGGACCGCGGAGACGGGGGGGGGCTGGGGGGGCTTTAGCCCCCCCACTTTTTTTGACAGCCAAAATTATTAAAATAGAAATCTAAATGAAACTTTCTAAATTAATTAAACCTTTTCTAGGCATTTTTAACTTTCGCATCTAATTAAAATGAATAAAGGCTAAGCCCCCCATTATGTGTACCTTACATGAAGTTCCCTTCAACACAGCCACGTGCTCCGAAACGAAATTATTATTTATATTCATATGGTTTTTGCAAAGTTTCCGCAATGGAGTTGAAACTGCCTTTATTTTTGAATTTATAAACAACAAATCAATTTATAAACAACAAATTTTATCGCTTACGTTTGTTTCAAAATCAATATCAAAAAGTTTGTTTATAAAGATTTTTATTTTTGTTGTGTTAAGTTTTTTAAGGAGGGCTTAAAATTGTTAAGATACTCTTAGTTTATAAAGTAGCCTAGTAAAAGGATTGCTTAGAAATTGTAAAAGGTCTAAATTTTGTTACTTTTTATGACGATGGTCTTGGAGATTTTTTGCTAAAGTTCCTCCAAAAATGCAGGAAATAGCGTTTAAGGTAATAATAGAAAATTGAACATTTTCCTTGGGGGTTTTGTTGATGATTTAGCCCCCACTCTCTAATACGCTCCGCGGGCCCTGTGGATGCATATACCTGTCTGTTTCATCTTGTGGGTTATAATGGCATTCTTCTTTTAACCAATTCAATCCAATTTTAAAATACTTCTCTAAACGCTCGTGTAGTTCCCTCCACCATCTTTCAATCTACAAATTAGAAGATAGATAATGTCAACATTTGAGTGTTGAGGGTAATCATCAGAATAAAAGTGTGTAAATTTGACTGAATATTATATATATACACATGTAAATAATATAACTATTTTAGAAAAATTATTTTAAAATATAAGTTCAATTACAAACCTGATTTGAAGGCGAGGGTCCAAATAAAATTGAATCAGTAGGGTCATTAAGATCTCCTTGGCTTTGTTGGCTGATGAGGTATGCATGAATGGTGCTCATGGTTGTGGTTTCAGTTCCCTTATCAAGGCGGATGTAGTTTGGTAAGATACCAGTCTCCAACAATGACTGCAAGTACCACTTACCAACAAATACTGGGTTGGAATTTGTTGTCCATACTTTGAGCCAAATTAATTTTCTGCTGGCAGTATCGATACACCCATATATTGCAATAGGGAAAGTCGAACTTTGATACCCCATCATCTTGTCGTGTCCGTCCATTGAATATGTCCAATTTGGTCCAAGAGTTACAAAGTGACCTTTGGGTTTTTTCTTCTTGGCACCAGGAGCTCTTCTAGCTAAGCCATCCGGATCAAGATCGAACATCAAATCATGAACACGAGCTCTAGGGACTTTTAACTCGTACTTCTGGCGTATCTTTTGGGTCATCGCCCTATAACCAAGCATTACTCCTGGGCCATCAAGCTCTTTCCTAACTGCTTCCCTTGCAACGTCCAGAGGTACATCGCGATCAATATAATTTATTCCAAAATGTCTCAATCTACGATCTAGAGTTCTCAAACTCCACTTATAAATGCAATAATTCTTTTTCATAAAGTCGAGAATCTCCAACCGCTGCATGTTCGTTGCTACGTATTTCTTCAAATCCTCCTCCAGTTTACTGTCACTTTTCCAAGATCCTCTCTCGCCCGCCATGTTGTTTTTTTTAATGCGGTTATGCAATAAACAGTATCGCTGGCTCAGAAAATTAATTATTTGTAATCGCATCTAATTATTTTTTGGCAGTTGGCAGTTCTGGGCCACGTGGAAAACGTTTTGTTTTTATTTTAATAAGCTTCATGTTTTTACATTAAAATCAATTTTATAAAAGATTTAAATTTATTTGAAAAAAAAGTAAAATTAATTTGGCAGTTCTGGGCCACCATACACATACAAATATAAAGCCGAATAAAATACTACCATTGGCATTGAATCAATATACAGTAATACTTGTACTATGTGCGACTGAAAAAACAAAATTGTTCTGAATATTTGAAGCTATTACTAAAATACGGTCACTCCAGATAGATTGGGATTTGGAATACCGAATACGTCTAAAATTTTACTAACTGTGGTCTAAATAAATGATAAATGAGCATGTATTTATTAATTTATTCGAAACACGAGTGTGCCAATAGTGGAAGCATAGTGGTGGGAAGCCGTATCGACGACGAAATTGTCAGCAGTTTATACAGTAAATAGTACAGCGTTTAATGTACGATATATATTTATATCTGAATGACATGCCAGCGAGGATCAACAATATAATTATTCGTACACATTTGGGTATCTTTTGCATACCTTCGCTTGCTGACTTGCTCACTAATGAGAATAATCCGTGAAGCCACGACGACCTCAAAATGTACTATACTTAGTCTGATGTCAATCCGAAGACGAAGTTCAGAATACTGTTATAGTTTCGTATATTGGATTTAAGCGATAGATTCAAGTCATTTATGATAGGCTTTTTGCTGTGATGCTTTGCTATTGCTTTTGGTTTCCATTTCTAGTTTTATTTGTTCGATAGTCTTATAATATATAATATTAAAATGAATAAAGTTCAAATTGACAAATTCTTCGAAATGCTGTTGTTGACATTTGCTATTTTTAGTAATTTTGTCAACGAGTGTAAGCCAATCAGAAGCCTGCGTTTCTATACGAACGCCACTACCAAGAAAACCTATAGTTCCGTGCAGGCCCTCTATTATTCGCGCCGCCCGTAACCCAGGGCCTGTTCGCAGGCTAATCATATAGCATCCATGTGCACTGGTGAAATGAATGTGTGCAATATTTTAAAATTGTGTGCATAAAATTTTATTTTTAAAAACATTTTAATTATCATTAAGTACAGCAATATTATGTTAATATTTTTTTGATTTTAAAATAAATAAATTTTATCAACATCAATTATGTAGTGTGTGATCTTTTTATTAATTTGTGATGAGCAAGGGAAGACTATACACTGAAACTCATGAAAACCATACATACCATAAACCTCTGAAATATATAAGCCCCCCCCCATGTATAAGCCCCCCCCCCCTTGTGTAAGCCCATCAAAAATCGCTTACGAAAGAATATAAGCCCAGTGCTTTTAGGTGGAGGTTTAGGCTATTAGTAAAACACGGAGCACGGAGCACACGGAGCACGGAGCACACGGAGCACGGAGCACACGGAGCACGGAGCACGGAGCACACGGAGCACGGAGCACACGAACTACGGGCAGTAGAAAAACGAAAATCCTTTATAATAAAATACACTGTTTACTATTACAAATTTTTGTTCTTATTAATAAAGTTTTTTCGCATTTTACACGTTGAGGAAGTAGAAAAATGGGGCTTTTACTGCACATATGATGCAAAACTGCCAAAAGCCACAGTATTTAAAATAGGATTGTGCCTGTGAAACTCGTCACATATCTATCAAGCTTATGTATGAGTTATGTAGTTATATTATGATATTCCGATAGCCAACGCATTAAGAAACACTTAGAGAACAGCCGATATATTTCGTTACCCCTGCCAAAAAATAGCCAAGTACTCATCTTTCAATGTAGCGGATCGACTGAACATTATAAAAGCTTGTCATGGAGAGAAGTGAACTGATTTTCGGTTTATCCTTCGTCCCAGTGACCAGTGAGCAGTGTGCTGTACGGCCTACGTTTAAACCGTTAAACATAATTACTGCTTTCATTCTCTCAATCCGTTTTGAATATTCGGAATCATTCACTATTATATTATAAAACTGAACGGACTTGTCGAACAATAAACATTAATATTACGCAACCGGAAGTAAATTGATAGAACTAATACTAGGAATCTAGTAGGCTTCGTTTTCCAGGAAAACGGAAGTGAAGCACATGGGTTTTGGGAGAGAAAACAGTGGTTCGTCTTTGTATTAAGGAGAGTTTTGGTTTTTGTATTAAAGTAAACATAAAACAATGAGTTGAGTGTGGTAAACAAATATATAGCGAGTGTATCGAGACGATTCGTTACAAAACTGTATAAGATAGCT